TGCTGAGGGTGAGGCGGTCGCTTCGAGGACGGACTCGCGGCTCTGCCATGAGCCTGTTAACCCGTCGCAGGAGCCGAGCCGAGCGGTGCGTTTCCTCCCTCGCTGTGCTGACAAGGCTTGAAATGGTTTGTCAGCCGGGGCTGCAGCCTTCGGTGCCAGAGAGAAGCCCCAGCCCAGCCAGGTGCCCTGCGGCTGCTCCTTTGCCTACACTTTGAGCTCATTCGAGCTCTGGAGAAGGCGATTCCCCTTTACATAGTTGTGCTGCTGAAACAGGGAATGGGGCTTGGCTGGAAAGGTTGCAGAATCTGCTGCTTGGCCTTTAAACAGAGGCTCCTTGGGGCATGGTGTTCTCCTCATTCTGGCTTGCATTGTTTCAGCTGTGGAAGCTGCCATAGTTAACTTCCCTTCCTGATATACAACAACATGCTTTTGTCCAACCTCCTCATGCTTTGTCCAGCCCAAAGAGAAGGTAATGGAAAGAGGCATTTGGTTTAAGTCCTGTTTTAATCCCATGACTGTGTAGGAAACTTGTTCTCATTGTCTCCAGAGTCCTTTGCCAAGGAATAAAAGGACTTGGCAATAAAGGAATAAAAGTGTTTCCCTTGTACATCCCTTCCCTCCTCTTTGTTCTCCACCCTGCATTGGCTGGCACTGACCAGGGTCAGGCGGTTTTTAGCTTGTCAGTGCACAATGTAGTCATGGATAGTATCTGTGTGTGTAAATGCTGGCGTGTTAGCTCAGTTGCATGTTCAAGAGGTAAAAGAAATTTGTTCTTCCAAAGTAAATTATGAGAAGGGGAATATTTTGGATTCAGCCGGTAGCTTTCCCAGCATCTGATTGCTATCTTATGTGGGATTTTCACTTACCCCTGTTTTTAGACTTGAATAACTGTCAAGGCCATAACATCCTTTTGAACGGTAGTCCCTCAGAAACAAAAGGAAATGTGGTTTCAGGTATTCTGTTGTGTATCAGACTCACAGGGACAAGTCATTATGAAAAGCCAGCCCTTAACAACTGTTTCTGTGTCCTCTGCTTTAATTTCAAAAAAAAAAAGAGACAGAGATGGAGTTATAAGTATAACTTAACTATTTTAATAAATCTTATACAGTGCACGGTTATATCATTTTATCCTTCGTTCAATTACATTAATGTACAGTACATTATAGCATTATCTGCAGGCAGTACAAATATAACAGATGCACAGCTCAGTCATATGGAAGTTTTTAAAAGTGACTTCTACAGATATATTTATTTTACGAAATGCTCCCGTGGCTCCTGGCTTCACAGAACTCTCGTGTTCACTTCTATTACAATCCCAAGCAGCTATAATTCTGAATTGTTTTCCTTTATACCTATTTCCTAGCTCACTCTTGGTTTTTATTTTCATTTTAGAAATTATTTCACCTCCTGTGCTTGTAACACCGATGGTTTGCCAGGGTTCACACCTGCTTCCCGTCTCCACCCGAATCCAGACCCAGGGCTTCTCAGGAGGATTGTCCTCGTCATCCCTCCCTGACAAGGTGAGTGTCCTTTGCCAATTCCAGCCGCTGTGGCAAGCCAGCAGGGTTGTGCCTGAAAACATGATCCTCCTCTGTAAGCTCCCTGCCTGCACCCTAATTCTGCTGGTGCTAACAATGTCCTATTTCAAGATTAAGAAAATATATCATCCATTAGAAAAAAAAAATAAATTTGGAAGAACAAAGCCGAAATGGAGAGGTGCATCAGTGTTCTCAGATTCAGACACGTGCTCCCCAGCCGCTGCTGTGCTGCTTTTTCCTTTAATGGACAGGGACAGACTCGATTTGTGCAAAGACTTAGGCAAGTGCTTCACTTGTCAAGGAGGTGGGACCCTTCACAGCAGGTAAAGGACAGCACATGTGTAAGTCTTTGTGGAGCCTGGGCCTGAATCCCCCATTCAACCAAAGTCAGGGTGTGTGAATGAGAGAGAAAGACAAAGTCCTCCCGCTCTGTGAGCAGTTCCTGTAGATGTGTTTGCTTTACTGCATTCCTATCAGGTTGGTCTGGAAGTAAAATATAGATACAAATACAATGTGTGCCAAACTTGCTGTGGACTTTGAGTGAATTATTGCTGCATAATCACTTAGTTATTTCTCTAAGGAAAGGGATTTTTTTCCCCTCATCCCTATTTATAGATGGTAAGAGCGAGGGGGTGTTTCACTAGATATGTACATATGCACATAATGTTATTAAGAAAAATGGGAAGTGAAGAACAACAGCCTCTACTAAATTAGATTTTTTTTTTCTTATGGCCATTTATTTTGTGTCAAAACAGCCTTTCCAAGTGTGATTTTTGTTTCTTAAATATTCAGGAAGCATTTCAGATTCTTCTTTGCAATGAAAACGTGAAGGTGGGGATGAGTGGTGAACACCCTGGGAAGGGTTTGGGTGTGACTAGGTGGGGAGCAAATGGTTGGGGTTTATTTTCTCCTTGTTTGAGCCCTGGCTTTGGCAATGCTGCAACTTTCCGGGCCAGGATCAGCGCCAAGGTGAAGGGCTGCACAGCTGCCCCGAGCCCCAGGCTCTGCCTAAGCAGGGATGAGCAGGCTGAGCTCATCTATTTGCAGATTCAAATCACTTGGCTTGTCACAGGGATCCTGCTCGTTATTACACAAAGAAAACCCGTTTCCACTGCTCAAAGACGGCACCAACTGGTACCTGGTGTGTTTAAGGAAGCAGCCAGTCTTAGGTGATGTGTGTTGCAATTCTAGCAGGGGGGCATGGGGACACGGAAGGAGGACAGTGAATTGTCACAGGGCCTTTGCTCGTGGGCTGCAGGGGATATTTGCCACAGAGAAGGAAATTATAAGTGGGGGAACAGACTTTTTCTGTGGTCCAGACTCTCAGTGTTCAGGCTGGCTTGTTGTGTGCTGTGTGCCGTGCCCTCTCATCCCAGCCCCCCCGCCCAGGGGCGTGGGAGCAGCTACAGCCCTTTGAGAAAAGCTTTTTTGTTTGCAGCCAGCCATTGTCATTCGTTCAGACACGGGTGGATTCTGCTCTGCTCTGATCGCATGCACATAAAATTTCAGTATAAAATATATAGTTATATATATATATAAAAAAAACCCAACTTCATGCAATATTAAAACACCTTTCCCAATGGGACATGGTCTTATTGTCAACCCTCATCAACAGTGTTCAAGGAATTGTCACTTTGATGGCAATTACAGCAAGTGTGGAGCCCTGCTGGCTCTTGCCTGGACTGGGGATCATTGCTTTCATTCCCTGGTTCTGCACTACTATGACTAATAGCTGAAATAAAGCAGATAGATTTTAATTAGCAGAATCAATCCTTTCCTGGCGACGCTTCATGATTTCTTGGAGCTCTGACTCCCCTCTGCTTTTCTAGAATGGAAACAAAAGAGGAAGTTTGAATTTGAAATTTAAGCTGTAGATTAATTCTAATATTTAACTAATGCTGTAAGAGTAGAACTAGTTTTGGAGGGATGAGAGATACTGGTAAGAAGGCAGATTCGTTAGTGGATACAGGGTGATTTGGGCCTTTTTCCTTAAAAAAACTTCTCAGCATTTTTAGGTGGTGAGTTTTTTTGATTGTGCAAATGTATTTATTTATTTTAATTGTGCTTCTTAAAATGTCTGTTTAATGGGATATCTGCCACTGCTGGTACAGGCACCCATTCAGGTGGCAGTTGTCCAGAAAGCTACTTACCTCCAGTTGGTTCTTCTCCACTGTGATTTTACTGTATACTCTGTTTCCCTCATCACCACACACTTTCTTCAGCTCCTCTCTGTTGAGGGAGAAGAGCTGAGCTCCAGTAAGGATGCCAAGGTGCTCCACTGTCCTGGGAAGACACAAAGCCAGGAGATTATAATTGTGCTACACGTGGCCTCTTGCCAAACGTGAGGAGTCAAATAAAAGGGCTTGGAGGAGCTGACGTGCAGCCCCAGCACCAGGACCGTCACACACGAGGCCCTGGGGCTGTGCCAAGGTGGCAGCTGCTGGGTGACCCAGGCTCTTGGCAGGGATGACAGTGAGCCACGAGGAGCAGGTGAAGCCAGTGTCAGTCTGGTATCTGCTGTGTGCCCAGCCCCACAGGTGTCGCACTGATTCCACTCCAGTTACATCCCATTTGGGGAGCAATGCTGGAGCTCCTCTTAGCTCGCTGTGCAGAGCATGAGTTACAGCTCGTAACCCTTGACCATGTGCAGGGTTTTGGTCCTTCCCAGGGGCTGGAAGGATTTGCTAGTCCCAGCTGAGGCTCTGAGATACTTTAGGACGGCTTCTCCAGAGACAGGCAGTTGTCTGGAATTTGCAGTTCAGGCCATGGGTCTAGCTAGTTAGTTAGTTATTTTTCTGAACTGGGTACCTGGGGCCAGACAAGCACCAGTGGTAGGACCTTGCACAGCGTTTGGCTGGGAGTTGTGTGAATCAGCAAGGCCAGTCCTTTATTTGCAGCTGCTCGTTAGGTCTTTTGCTGCACTGTAAGACCAGGTTTATTTGATAGTGTGTAAGAAAGGGAGTAAGTTTGGGCTCTGAACATCCTGTCCATATAGCCTGGATTTAATATGATTGAAATCTAATTTGCAGCACAGGCTCTGTGGTAAACAAAAGTGACTTGTAATCCAGCTGAAATGTTGCATCCTGCCTCCCCCACTCCCTTTTAAACCAAGGCCCAGCATTTCACAGGGCAGTAAAGCAGAGCTTACTCTTTGCTGAATGACTTTGCCTCCAGCCAAGCTTTGACTTCTTCAGTGCTGGATTCGAAGGTGAGGGGCACAAAAACTTGCTGAGGCTTTTCCACTTTGAAATTCCTCTGGGGAGGCTGAATTTTATTGTTTGTGATCTTCTTTAGCAGCTCATCATTCAGCTCGTCCATTTGATGAATAAGTTCTAGGGAAA